GGAATCATCACATGATCCTTCTCCTGTTTTAAACCAGCTACCTAAGTACTTTGATTTGGTGACCCCTGGTTCTTTTATTATGGGAACAAGTAAATAATTTTTCTTTATTCACTTTTTCCACACCAGTCATGATTTTATAGACCTCTGTCATATCCCCTCCTCCCCAGTCTCCTCTTTTCTAAACTGAAAAGTCTCAGTCTTTTTAATCTCTCTTCATATGGGACCCATTCCAAACTCCTAATGATTTGTGTTGCCCTTTTCTGAACCTTTTCCTATGCCAATATATCTTTTTTGAGATGAGGCGACCACATCTGTACACAGTATTCAAGGTGTGGGTGTACCATGGATTTATATAGAGGGAATAAGATATTCTCTGTTGCTCTCTATCCCTTTTTTAATGATTTCTAACATTCTGTTTGCTTTTTTGACTACCACTGCCCATTGGGTGGATGTTTTCAGAGAACTATCCACAATGACGCCAAGATCTTCCTTGAATAGTTATAGCTAAATTAGTCCCCATCATATTGTATGTATAATTGCGATTATTTTTTCCAATGTGCATTACTTTACATTTATCAACATTAAATTTCATTTGCCATTTTGTTGTCCAATCACTTAGTTTTGTGAGACCTTTTTGAAGCTCTTCACAGTCTGCTTTGGTCTTAACTATCTTGAGCAATTTAGTATCATCTGCAAATTTTTGCCACCTCACTGTTTACCCCTTACGCCATATTTTTTATAAATAGGTTGAACAGGATTGGTCTCAGTACAGACCCATGGTGGGACACCAGTAGTCACCTCTCGCCATTCTGAAAACTTACCGTTTATCCCTACCCTTCGTTTCCTGTCTTTTAACCAGTTATCAATCTATGAGAGGGCCTTCCTTCTTATCCCATGACAACTTACTTTACTTAAGAGCCTTTGGTGAGGGATCTTGTTAAAGCTTTCTAGAAATCTAAATAGACTATATCCACTGGATCCCTTTTGTCCACGTTTGTGGATTCCTCAAAGAACTCTAGTAAGGCATGATTCCCTTTATGGAAACCGTGTTGACTTTTCCCCAACAAATTATGTTCATCTGTATGTCTGCCAAATTTATTCTTCATTTCAACTAATTTGCCCAGTACCAATGCTAGACTTACCGGTCTATATGGCCAGGATCACCTCTAGAGCCCTTTTTAAATATTGGTGTCACATTAGCTATCTTCCAGCCATTAGGTACAGGAGCTGATTTAAAGGGTAGGTTACAGTTAATAGTTCCGCAATTTCCCGTTTGAATTCTTTCAGAACTCTTGGGTGAATGCTATCTGGTTCCAGTGACTTGTTACTGATAAGTTTATCAGTTTGTTCCAAAACCTCCTCTATTGACACCTCAATCTGGGACAATTCCTCAGACCTGTTGCCCAAAAAGAATGGCTCAGGTTTGGGAATCTTCCTCACATTCAGCCATGAAGACTGAAGCAAAGAATTCATTTAATTTCTCCATAATGACTTATATCATCTTTAAGTGCTCCTTTAGCATCTCAATCATCCACTGATTGTTTAGCAGGCTTCCTGCTTCTGATGTACTTAAAAACATTTTGCTATTACTTTTTAAGTTTTTGGCTAGCTGCTCGTCAAACTTCTTTTTGGCTTTTCTTATTATATTTTTACACTTAATTTGACAGAGTTTATGCTCCTTTCTATTTTCCTCACTAGGATTGACTTCCACTTTTTAAACAATGCCTTTTTATCTCTCACTGCTTCTTTTACTTGGTTGTTAAGCCACAGTGGAACTTTTTTGGTTTTCTTACATTAGTTGGTTCATATCAAGCAAAATTAATTACACAGGAGAATGAAACAATCAAAGAACCAGACAGAGATCATAAACAGTAGAGAGATGAGGAGCATAATAACCAAGTAATAAACAAATGAGGATTTTACAACCCCAACTATTGATAAGACAGAAAGCAAGCAACCCAAGTTTCTTTTAACTCTTCTAGGCTTTTTCCCTTTATCTGGAGGTGATAGTTTGGATTGCCTTTCTAACAGCCCCAAATTGCCTTATTTTAATGTGTCTGGTTAGGAATGTGCCCAGAAGTGACTGCATGTTTCCCTGCTTATGGATGTTCCTGCTGCTTAACCTAAAGCCTTAGCTCAAAAACAAGGCCTCAAACCATCACATACAGATACACTGTGATTTTGATTCTTTGTTTTTATATGCCTGTAAAAATGCACTTATATTTTTAAAATACAGGCTGTAGCAGGCAGGTCTATAGCTATATCCTAACACTGGACTGAGACTCAAGAGGCCTGGGTTCAAGTCTTGGCTCTACTACTGCTTTGCTACGTGCCTTTGAGCAAATCACTTTCCTTTTTGTGCTTTCATTTCCCCATCTGGTAAATGGAGATAATGCTGACCGCCTTAGTAAAGCACTTTGAGAACCATAGCTGATGAGTGTTAACAAAGAACTATGAATTATTTATTATTAAATGCAGAAACAAATAGGGTTAAAAATAGTTGTCTTGCCCAGTGTTATTTCTCCTTTTAATGCTTTTAACACAGGATCTAGTCAGAATACCAAGACTGTACTGAAATGGAAAAGCTAACTATAGTTGCACACTTGTCTTATTGGAGGAGAACAAATTTGTGAGGCTGGACAATGACCTCAACCATTAGAGGAAAGGAAAGCTAAAAGAAAATAAATGCCAAAATACTCACTTAGAAGAAGAGTCATAGGTTTCTCCAGTCACCTATAAAGTGGATCGTCTAGGGCTGCAAATGACTGTCTCCCCCACATTTAATGGATCAATTACCATAGGGGGGAGCATGCTGGAAAGGCTAACAAAAGAGTACACCCAAAGTAGAAAAGTGTAGTGATGACCAAATACACTGTAGCTAAAGAAATGGCAGCTGCACATAATGAAAAGCACCAAATTCTGAATTGTGTGGAAGTTAGGGATGTTGATAAAAGATACCCTGAGATTCTTATAAAGCAGAACCTGATGTCTTCGGTATTTGGGATGTTTGTTTTGTGTTCCATTATATTTATGCAAGGCAAATCTGGATTCTGTTTTGCTACCTGCTGTGTGTGTTTGAAGTATCTTCTTGTGTTTCTACAGCTAAATTAAGAGTTGCTTCATAATCAAAACAGCTCTTGTAGTTTTACTTAACTCTTCTAGCTGCAGGCTTAGATTTCCAGGAAAAGTGAAGATCTTCATTTCCATGAAAGTGAAGTATAAGGGAGGTAGACATTGTAAGCCTTTCCTTCACCCACTCACTGATGTTACATGTGCTAGCAGACTTCATTCTTATCTTCTACTGGAGACTAACTCTTCCTTGTAACTGATCACCCATTTGAATTATTTCTACAGGTGATAACGTCAATGTACTATTTTCTCTTAAATGGATAAACAGCAGAAGGAAAAAGTTATAATTTGGAGTGGATGGCATACAAGCTTCCCTGACTCCTGGTTTTATTGCAAGTTCAACATGAAGTGAATCTTTACTTAGTTCAGTTCATTAACTTAACTAACAGTGATCAATTGTGCTCTGTCAGCAACACAATTGGCTATTGAAAGATAGTGTTTGCTTATGTTTAAGCAGGAGTCCCAGAAAAAGGAGTTTGCAGAGAAGCTTGAATCTCTCTTGCACCGGGCGTATCACCTTCAGGAAGAATTTGGGTCAACGCTCCCTTCAGACAGCATGCTGCTAGACCTGGGTAAGATGGGGCTGGGTGTTAGCTAAAGATGCAGTCTCGAGAATATGCTAGAATCCCATTAGTAACTAGAACTGAGCTCCATAGACTCTTATTTGGAGATGGTTATTAAACCTTTCCATTAAATTCTAATATTCTATTTGCCAAGACCACATCAAATTCTTCCTCACCGGATAGAGGTGGCCATTAAGGATGTCAGCATATAGACAACTACACGATTAACCGCTAAGCCTGGGCTTATCTGTTAATCCTGTTGACTACATGCATTCCCCCACCTTGCTGTCTCTGTATCAGAGGCATCAAGGTGTGGGGAGGCGGGAGCCGGTGCTTGGGGGGGATCTCGCCTCGTGTGCCAGCTCTGTGGACCCCGGTTCCGTCACCCCTTGCTGCCTCCTACAGAGGAGGGAGGGCAGGCAGGAGCCACCTCCTCTCTCCCCCCCCCCCCCCCCGCGCCGGCG